CTGAGATGATCCAGACTGTGGTGGGACTTGGAACAGGCCTTAGACTGGAAGATCGACCACATGGCATAGTCAAAAGGGTTCAGATCTGCAGACGACGAGACCACTCTTCCTTAGTCAAGAACCCTGGATTGCGTGTTTCTCCGTGCTATCTCTTGGATTTGGAATCCATCAGTCCTCTCTTTCGGTCGTCTCGAAGGTGTGATCTTTCCCGAAACTCGCTTTTTACGTGCAGCGAGGGAATCAGACGTCGACAGAGACGAGAAAAACGGATTTCTCGCCAGCATCTTCGAAATTCGCGCGATCGTTTTGTCGTCATGACGTCTCGGTGCTGTGCCATTGTGCATTCCACCTCTAATGTACTCAATAGTTCTAAACCTGCCATTCCTCGGTATTATACCTTCTGCCATTCCTCGATAATACTAGAATTTCCAACATACCGTAGCCAGCAAAAAGGTCCTCTCCTTGGTATCGAGGGGTGCAGATTCTACCTTTGGTTGAAGGACTCAAAGCTCCCGTATTACGTGGATACGAAAATGCTAATTCCAATCGGCCCTTTCCAATAGTAAAAACATCGATAGTGTGATATAAATGTAAGCCATTTCGAGGGCTATCCAATTGTTTTCCACGTGGACGAAGCGTAAATTTCCGTATTTTTTGCAGGCGGATGGGCAGCGGAAGGGGAATCCGTCGGAATTGGACGATGGGCCCGTGAAGAATAGATCCTGCAGGGATGTCATCTGCCTCCTCTTCTTCGTCGCCTTCTTCGTCTTTTTCGTACGATTTTTTTCGTTTCGTCGGTGGTGACGTGGGGGTGACGGGTGGTGACGGGAGGATTTAATGCAGGGGGTGGTGATCGTGTGGGCGGCGACCGTGGGGGACCTGGATCGGCTGCTGCACGGCTACGACAAGAGCGGGAACGTGTGCGGGAGGAAGACGAATCCGACGATCGCGGGGGTGAATGGGAGCGGGCAGGATACGTCGGGGAAGCCGTGAGTTCCGAGGCTGAGTGGATGTTTCGGGGGGTTTCATCGGGAGAAGATGGGTTTGGGGCGTCGTACGGAAGTGTTTGGGGTTTCGGGGGGTTTCACTACGAGAGGTAATGTCCAGTAGTGTCTTTTCGGTTATACCTAGTTTGGGAATTTTGACTCGTTTTAATTTGATTTTTGCATGATCTCGATTACTCGGACAATTAAAGGCAGCATCGTTGGAATGAGAATTCTTTGAGTGTATGATAATAATGGAACATCTGCGAAATGTAGAAATGAGAAGTTGCCATTTAAAAAGTTCATTTCACGATTTTCTTTGCTCTACGTAGATATTTGAGGACTTGCGGAATCGGTGTTACCTGTGGCAGCGAGGAATGCGTTACTCAATGCTCCAACACGTTAGTTCTTTTTTTATTTTCTCAAAAAATTTATACGTGAATGGTCTATATTCAGGTAAAAGTGTGGTATTTCAGGGAGACGTTGGTTTTGAACCGTTGCTTGCCCATTTCGACCGGTGCAACTTCTGCAGCTACCAAGGATGCAGGAAACTTTTTCATGGTGAGAACCCGATGGAAGCTGTTGGGTTTTTAGTAGGCTTTGGTAGTTTTTTTTTTGCAGCATATTCGAGTCAGTACTGTCGTTAAAATTTGTTTCAATCCGCAGCGGGTCGGAGCGAGCATCCAGGCGACCTGGAGGGAAATCGTCTACATGTGCCTCATCGCCCTCGGTCAGTTTTTGTTTGGAAGGCGTGGAGGGTGGAGCAGCTGCTCATGAGGGATGCTTTCTCTTGCAGTGTTTTCTCTCGTGATCACCATAATGTTTCGGTTTCTGACGGGGGTTGTGGTGTGGCTCATTCTCATCGTGGGGTCTTTGGCCTGCATCGCCGGAACCATCGCGCTCTGGTACATTCTAGATAAATTAGCTATAAGTCCCTAGAATATCGGTGAATTGCACCGTCACTCGTTTCTCTTCAGGATATTGTGGAACAATGAGAAGCAAGCAAATGGAGCAAACGAGAAATATTACCTGATAGGGGCCATCGCTGCTACGATTTTCACCGTATGACTGGTCTTTATTTCCGCCGAAATTCGAGACAACCCCGTTTCTAAAGTGCTTTCTCTTTCCAGGTCATTCTGCTGCTGGTTCTTCTGGTGATGAGGAGCAGGATCGCCCTCGTCGTCGCGCTGTTCCGAGAGGCCGGGAAGGCCCTCCACTCCATTCCCTTCTTGTTTCTTCAGCCGCTTTGGGTTCGTGGTTTTCGCTGTCGCGTGAGAGTTTGCGATCTCGGTGATGAACGGGTTTTTATGACTTGGTAGACGTTCATCGCGTTGGCCATATTTCTGTTCATTTGGGGTCTGGGTGCACTCCTGATCCAGAGCACCGGGGATCCAACCGTGAACTCCGATGGAATCGTCAAGTACAACATCAATGGGTTTTTTGCCGTGAGAATGCTGACACTTTTCCCTCGTACGTTCGGTGTGTGTCGACTGTAAAATATGAAATTTCTGAAAATGACGCAGGGTATGCGTTGGTACCATCTGTTCGCGCTGTTCTGGGGAGTCCAATTCATCATCGCCTGTCAGCACGTCGTCATCGCTGGTGCGATTGCCGTCTGGTACTTCACAAGGTATTGGCGAGAGCGAAAAGCTCTTTTTCATTCGAATTCCACTCTTCACGACGCGAAAAGGTCGCAAGAGACCGCATTCCGCTCTGACCTGGATCATGACCCGAGAAATGACACGAGTCACAAAATGCATAGTCAAATGACGGCTCTGGTCATGACCCATGCCACAACGAAGGATGCGATCGATATCGAACGCGACATTTTTTTTAACATCTCTTCCCCCTTCATTTATTCATTTCTTTCCCTTCTCTCGATGGTAATTTCTGTTTGCCCGTTTCTCATCGCCCGCAAACGCCGCAGGAGCAAGAAACTCGGCTTCCCCATCTTCCGGAGCACGTGGAACCTGCTCCGATACTCGATCGGGTCCGTGGCCCTGGGCTCCTTCATCATCGCCTTGATCCAGCTCATCCGCTACCTCCTCTCGAGGCTCCAACAGCGGCTGAAGGGATCGACGGCGCTGTCCTGCTGCCTCTGCTGCTGCCAGTGCCTCCTGTCCTGCTTCGAGAACTTCCTCAAGTTTCTCAATCGGAACGCGTACATCGAAATCGGTTCGTCGGTCGATCGGGGTTGTGTAGATTTGCGAACGCGAAATCGGTAATGCGAAATGCATCTCTAAACTAAAAAGGGTGCTAAAGAAATACTAAAATGGCCATACTAGCAAGAGTTTTCCAAGCACTCCTCTCATTCAGTAAAAAAAAAATGTTATGGGTAAGGTAAAGGAAGGTAAAGAAGGACGACAGATCCTGTTGCCAGAGCGGTTATTATTTGACCTCACCCTAAGAGATGTGAAAATAGACTTTCTTGCCACGAGCGTTCAAACCTGTCCATTGCCTACATGACCGCAACTTTTCCATTGCAGCGATCTACGGCTACTCGTTCTGCAAGGCGGCGCGGGAGGCGTTCAAGCTGCTGACCACCAACGCACTGAGGATGGTGGCCATCAACACGATCGGGGATTTCGTCCTCTTCCTCGGCAAGGTCGCCGTCGTCGTCCCCATCGTTTTCATCGGCATCAAACTCGTCGGGGTGAGTTCGGGTCCGAAACATTTTATTGCGGGGTGTTTCGAGTGCCGATTGGATAAATTAAATTGCAGTGTCACTTTTGCCCAGTATATTCCGAATTTTGCCGTTCCCTTTTTTGCTCCAAAGGGAACTTAAATACTCTTGCTCGATTTATTCTTTACTCGTTCTCATCTTAATGAACGGCAGAATTAATTAAATATGATTTTCGATGCCGTCGTAGAACCGAGACGGAGTGGAATACCCGTGGGCTCCGGTGGTCGTCGGTGCCGTGTTCGCCTTCATCATCGCCCACGCCTTCATCGCCGTCTACGAGGTCGAGGCCTTCGAGGTCATTCCGTGCAATCTCGTGCCGATTTTTCTCCTTTTCGACTCGATTTTCCGTTTGGCTTCAGATGGCGGTGGATACCTTGTTCCTTTGCTTCTGCGAGGATGTGGAACGGAACGATGGGGTCAACAGGCCGTATTACATGAGCAAGGGACTCATGGTCTGTGGACGAATTCACATTTGCATTTCGGTATGTATTTTTTGTGTTTCTAATATTTAATTTTGAATTTTTAAATTTAGGAATTCGTGGAGAACAGCAAGCAGGCGATGGCGGCGCTGGATGCTCGAAAGAGGGACAAGGGGGCTTGAATCACTTTTGGCAACTTTTTTCTCATTTTTCCCCTTGCCGAAATAATTTATATCTTCGTTTTTGATACGACGTTCGTGAGATCCTGCACCGATGGAATATTTTCGCAAAAAATTTCGTCGAGCTACGAAGTTGGCCTGATTAGAGGGACGAGAAATTGCCGTGTTCGTTCCCGATTTGACAATCTGCTGAATGAGGGTTGATAGAAATGACTAATTTTGCCGATAGAAAAAATTTATATATTTCTGCACGTATTTTCCTGGACAGAGACTTTATTTAGAGCAAAAAAAAACTGCGGGTGAAATTTTTTTTAGTGAATCCAATCCGCGTGTCTGCACCCCTTTTTTAGGCACTTCGCTGACGCCATGAGACGAATCTGCGTTAAACGAGATGCTGGCCATCGTAGGGTAAAATTGACTTGTGATACACTTGTGATATTTGCACGATAAAAGTCCACTGTGTGAAATTTGTGCCTTTTCCTTCGTGGAATTAAGTCGGGTCGACGGAATGCTGGAAGACTGAAAAATGCAGGCGATTGGGGGTCTCTGCCGACGGGGTCCAACATTCTCTTTCTGATACCCGAGAGTTCCAAATTCGCACGGTGACTCATTACAATGCTATGAGACTGAAAATTCTTCTCTTTTTTTGGGGGGGGGGGAACGATGTGCTTCCATTTGGACGCTATGGGACAGAACACAAAACTTCTTAATTTAGAAGACACGAAACGCTTTGCGGGTTACATCTAGTGCCAAATTTTGCATTTGTCATGCATGAAAAAGGAATGGAGGATCGAATGAAACGTCTCGATTGATGTGGAATCGATGGCAGATACAGAAATTATTCATAGGAGGGACGCTCTCCTAGCTCTTAAAAAGGCTTATATTTCTGCCCAAGTCCAAGAAACCCCTCCAAGGCGCTTTCTACTCTTGAATGTATCGATTGGTAGGGATTCTCTCATGACTGAGTGCCTGTCACCGGCAGACTGTATCCTTTGCCAAGAAAGTCTTAGATAATATGGTGTAATCCTTCGATAGCTCAGCTGTAGAACGGTGGACTTGTAGAAGGGCAGTTATCCATAGGTCGCTGGTTCTAATCCGACTCGAAGGTAAGTTATTTTTCATTCATTTTGTGGTTTCTGATAGATTATATCAGAAACCACACCCCCTCCCCCTCTTCCCCTTCCCAACTTATTAGGGGAAAGATCACTGGATATTTCTAACTGGGACGGCAAAATCCACTTTTTAGATAATATTGGACATGGACACGTGGGCCATATTCAACGCGCTTCCTTTTTGAACACCTTTATCGATCGCTCAAGAAAGACTTTGAAACCTTCGCACCGAAGAACTCCGCGAGACTTAAGTTGGACGATGAATTGCATTCCTCTTGGAAGACCCACGAAATCGGAAACCCTCGCGGAGCTGCTTCCCTGGAGAGGCTCTCTGACTGGAGGAGGAGGGCGGGGCCAAAGACCTTATGAAGACTGGGCAGTCTGTGGCGACGCCTTTGATCTCGGGGAAACCTCAGAAGGTTTGGGTTCTGTGTAGTTCCGGGCCCCGGAATTACGCAGAACTGACCAATGGGATCGTTGGATTGGAATGTCGCATGAAATATGGCTGCTTCTGGATCCTAGTACTCCGCCTACGCACCATGCCACCAGAAATTGGGTCAAATGGTTGGAGATGTTCCGTTGCATCGGTTTCCCAAAGAACCGGAAAGACACGCGCATGTGTTCACCTAGGGCTTTGCACTAGGCCTATGGTCATGGCTTTACATATACGAGGTATGTAACAGGCGGATGAAGTAAAATGCTGAGTAACCTCAATGACCCTAACGATAAGGTCAACATTTTCGCGGCTCGGATTGACAGACCTGTTAGAATGGGATGACTTCAATTTTGAAGCGACAAAAACAGAGTGCGGATCTTGCAGCTTTGCTTTGGATTTACAGCCTTATGTTCTTGGGGTCCAGTTGGGTTACAGCTGGCTTCTACTCGCACACATTGTTGCTGGCAGCTAGGCCAAAATGTTCTCGGCAGTGATTGCCATTGTGATTCAACGATCTCCAGTTCACGAAAATAATGCAGTTTGTATATAATAACAAAACATTCCTTGATACTTGAATGATGATTCTGATTCCTTGCTACATAAATATAACCTACCTTCATCGTCTTGCAATTCTGTCTGAATTCAAGAATCATAGCCCCCGCCTCCAGGGAGATCCTCCGAACATTGTTTTCCCAACTTCAACTCCATGGCCTTCCGCCAGCCATGTCAATCAGTCACGCGAAATGACGTCAGACTTCGGGCGCGAATTCGTTCAAGAGACACTAGCGCTCTGCTCCAGGAAACGTCGACATTAGTTCGAGGGCCAACCACCAGGGCATAGACCGCCATTGCGGTTACCTTTCGCGCAGAGTTCCCAGTCTTCTTAGTATAAGGTCTTTGGGTGGGACCCGGGTGAGCCTGTGAGGCTGCCGGATCGGTACTGCAGAGAGCGCTGACGGCGAGCTGATCGTCGGTGGCATGCTCTGGTTTCTCTCTTGGGGGGAAAAGGATGGAGGGATAGTGATTCTCCTTCGACTGAGAGAACGTTAATGGCAAACCCTGACTTCATCGACACCTCTATCAAATTTGAAATTTTACCGCTTTATATTTCAGCTTCTTCGGTAGCTCAGTTGGTAGAGCGGTGGACTGTAGATTACCAAGAAGCCATATCCATAGGTCACTGGTTCAAATCCGGCTCGAAGGACTTTATTTTCGCAACAAACTATAGTTTCCACCTCCTCCCCTCTATCTCCAAGAGGAAAGGAATCAGACACTTCTAAACTGAAAAGCCATTTCCGCTTCTGGAATTCAGTGGACATGGTCAAAGTGGGAAGTCTTTTGAACTTATTTTTAAACTCCAATTCATATAACGAAACATTTTGAAGCACTTCCTTTCGAAAAACGATTAAAATTTTAGCCGAAAGATGAAACGCACTCTTCCGCGAAGATCCACGAAGGCGGGAGCCCTCACAGAGCCCTGCTTCCCTGGCGACTGTCTCGGCTTGACTAATTCGCTTCAGGCTCACTCCCGCAGAGGTCGCGTTGGGGCTCTCCGCTTCCGGCTCTGTCGTGCAGAGAGCGCTGATGGCGCTCCAATGACTTAGGCCCTGTGTCTTCCGCTGCTGCTCTCACTTCTGTACTCTTTGTACTTATTCTTGGATTGGAGAAGCCATGTCTGAGAAAACTTGGATCTTGCCCTGTCACGAAGACGCGCACAAGGTAACTTCTTCCTATTCTTTGCCATTGAGTCTTGGAGTCAGTGGGGAGGAGGACATAGGCTCCATCCGGTAAACTTAACGCGAGCTGCGACGTAGCTATTGTTCCAAGAATGATTTCCTTGGAAACTCAAGACGGGGTTGTGGATTCCACGACTACTTCTTTTAAAACTCGGTTTCGTCCATCGAACAAATTTGTGAAGGGTAAGGAATTCAGATAAAGCGAAGGGGCTTATGCTCGTCGATACTCAGGTCGAGATTGGTCGAACATAGGCTAAGTCGGGTGAGCTGTGGCACGACGGCATTGCTTTGATGTTCCTAGTCAAAATGACGTGATCGTGCTTTGAATTCCTAGATGACACTGCCGAGGCCGAGGCATGATGGCCGCTTCTTTCGTAACAACTTTTACTCTCCCGCTGAATTCCTTCATTAATCCGATAGGACACGGATGATCCTATAGAAAAAAGACTGGGGTCGAATGGCCTTGCTGCCACTTCAGATGGGCGTCCCTCCAGGAAATGGTAATGTAACGGCGAAGTCTGGAATCGAGTCTGTCCTATCCTCTCTGTTTCTTCGTGAAAATGTTGGGGGAAATGCCCATTTCACTTTTAACATTCAGCTCGTATGAGCAAAAAAAAAACGAAATTCGGTAGGTTAGGCTGCTTTGGATGCAGCTCGTGAAGGAGATCTCAATCATCGGTCTGATGTTTCCAAGCCTTCTCGTTCCGTTTGACGAAAAGAATCTCGTTTCACTCGCGGCACGTGAACAGCATGACATCATAGGTAGCATCTTGGCCATGCCGAAGGGATGTCGAGTTCGATCGGTTCGCTATTGAGTGAATGCTACCAGCAGACAGTGATTTTGTTTGACAAGCCTCTCGGGAGGAAAATGAAATAATCAAAAGTACGTGTCCTTCGATAGCTCAGTTGGTAGAGCGGTGGACTGTAGATAATGCCGTAGATATCCATAGGTCGCTGGTTCAAATCCGGCTCGAAGGACTGCTTTTTTTCACCATATTGCAATCAAAATTCCCCTCCTTTTTCTTCTGGACTAAAATGGACATAACCGACTTGACCAGTGGCGTAGCGTGGTTGGCATGGGCCCTGGTGCAAGGAATGATACGGGGCCCGCTGTCCAATCCAATTTCTTACTATTGAATTATGTGGGCGTCATATTTTTTTGCTAGTTTTCTCCGACAGCATATAAATCGTCGTCGGTCGCTGAAGTCAGTGTGTATTAATTAATTCTAAAATTTAAAAAATAGACTGCGAACTTGGCCAGAGGAGGGGCAGCCGTCCTCCCTCTTCTTGATCCGTCACTAGTGAAAGCGTGAATGCAGAGCCAGATCAAGAAGTTGCGAGGCCAGGGGCAAGTGAGTTCTTGGTCGATCCCCCCCCCCTGCTACTTTACGCAATGAACGTGTTTAATTTCCTTCGAGGGCCCCCTGAAAAGTGGGGCCTAGGGCAACAGCCCCCTTTGCCACCCCCCCCCCTTCATCCCACCCTGGATGAATGGTATTTGAAATAGCCACCACTTCACAAAGCGGCGTTCCAGTTACGAGATGTCTCCGTGCAGTGTCGCGTTGAACTCCTTTGATTCCTTTTTGACCTTCCTTTTCGGCTGCTGGCTCTCACCTCGCCCCAATGCCAAGGGGCTTCCAGCTAACGCCCCCCTCTTCGTAGCTCGGCGTCTGGGCCCCTCTGGCCGTGGGCTCCGGTGCAGTCGCACCTCCTGCACATTCAGTAGCTACGCCACTGGACTTGACCATGTTCATAATGACCCAGAATCCCTGACCGTCAAGAGAGAGGAATTGCGGTATTGGTTGCGTAAGTGTTCTTGCTACTCGAGATCGAGATCGGTTGGATCTCTCCAAAAATACCGTTCAAAAATACCGTACGGGTGAAACTTGAACGTAGGCACAGGTAGGGGGGGGGGTGTGAGAATTTGTATGGCGCTTCAGTGCCGTTGAATTCTAAGCTTTGGTGTGCAACCTCCGCAGCATTAGGTCGGTGCGCGCCATAGACAGCCCAGGCATAATGGCGGCTTCTTTACGTTGCAACTTGCAAACTCGTGCACACTTCTCTTCTCGGAAAGTCAGAGTGATAGCGATCCTCACTTGACTGAATGAATACTACTGGCACACAGCAACGTTGTTCGATAAATATCTCTGTCAATGATTATGACAAGATAGCTCGTATCTCCT